CCTTCCTTCCTTCCTTCCTTCCTTCCTTCCTTCCTTCCTTCCTTCCTCCTTCCTTCCTTCCTTCCTTCCTTCCTTCCCTTTCTCCTTCCTTCCCTTCCCTTCCAACCTTCTCTAGCTTTTAAGGTATGTCGGTTTCCATTCCCAGCATGACAATTGGGGAATTCTGGGAGTCGATGTCCACACCTCCTTAATTTTGCACAGTTGAGAAGCGCTGCCCCAGAGCATAAACCTGTGACCCTGCCACATCGAGGCTCGGGCCAGCTCTCTCCCCTCTAGTTAAGCATCCTCTATCCCGCAGCAGCTCTGAAAGGTTGCGGAATTTAATCCCCCCCCCCCCCCCCCCCGACTGTTACAAGAGACGACTTGGAATTGGAGCCGCCCGGCTTAAAATTGGCACCGCCCGTCTCCCAAATATTTGCAGCTTCAGTCCCCTGCTCTTCCTCCCCAAATCTCGCCAGGCAGCTTGAAGGCTGGGAGTCAAGCAAGCAAGCTCACCTCTTCTCGCCTCCTTACTAGCTTCTTCTTGCAAACTCTTCAGAATTTCTCTCTTCCCCACAGCCCCCCTGCATTAGGGACTTGCCAGGTTTCCGCAATCTGGGTGTTCACCACCTCAATATTCGAACCCTTAACTTGCTTAACTCCTTTGAAAGGTTCCTGGCAGCAGGCACTGCCAAAACTCCCTCCCTCCCTCTGTTCTCTGTCGGTTGAGATTCTAGAAAGAGTGCAGAGAAGAGCAACCAAGAAGATTAGGGGACTGGAAGCTAAAACATATGAAGAACAGGTGCAGGAACTGGGTACGTCTAGTCTGATGAAAATAAGCGCTAGGGATGACAGGATAGCAGCATTGCAATATCTCAGGGGCTGCCCCAAAGAAGAGGCAGTCAAGCTATTCTCCAAAGTACCCGAGGGCAGGACAAGAAGCCATTGCTGGAAACTAATGAAGGAGGGAAGCAACCTAGAACTTGAGAAATTTCCAGACATTTAGAACAATTCATCAGTGGAACGACTTGCCTCTAGAAGTTCTGGGTGCTTCAACACTGGAGGTTTTTAAGAAGAGCTTGGACAATGGGGTCTTCTGCTTGAGCAGGGGGTTGGACTAGAAGACCTCCAAGGTCCCTTCCAACTCCTATTCTATTCTATTCTATTCTATTGTATTCTTATTCTATTGTATTCTTATTCTATATTCTATTCTCATTCCGTATTCCTATTCTATTCTATTCTATTCTATTCTATTCTATTCTATTCTATTCTATTCTATTCTATTCTATTCTATTCTATTCTATTCTATTCTATTCTATTCTGATTTCTATCCCATTGCATTGCATTCCATTCCATTCCATTCCAGTCTATATTCTATTCCCATTACATATTCTATATTCTATTTCTATTCTATTCCAGAGAAAAAAACTGACCAAAGACACTGGAGATCTGCTCCACTGTTTGGTAGGACATCCTTTTTTGGACGAGCCTTCTGGTCCAGGCCTCATCCTGTTGGAGTAGCTGGCTTCCACTGACTTCTCCTGGAACTTTTTTCCTGCTGAGAAAAACACGCCGGGTTTGTGTTCTTTTAAAACAGGCTCGTCTCCAAAGGCGTTGACCAACTCATCTCCAAGTGGTTTTGTGTGCTCAGCCTTCAATCAAAGCCAGGCTTGCTTCACTAGGAGGCCCGAGTTGCTCCTTCTTTCTTCCTCCTTCCTCTTTCCACACCACTTCCCAGAACCTGGAAAGGACTTGCAGGAAGTGTTCATTAAGCAGATTAACAAAGTTGGAAGGGACCTTGTAGGCCATCTAGTCCAACCCCCAAACTAGCTTGGAGATAGTTGATGTTCTATCAAGTCAATTGTGTTCTCACTGTCAGGAAAGTCCTCCTTATTTCTAGTTTGAATCAATCAGAATAGAGCTGGAAGGGACCTTGTAGGTCTTCTATCCCACCCCACGCCTAAGCAGGAGACCTGTCACCGTTCCTGACAGGTGACAGTCCAGTGTCTTCTTGAAAGCCTCCAGTGGTGACACTCCCACAACTTCCAAAGGCAACTTCTGTTCCATGGGTTGATTGTTCTCCCTGTCAGAAAATTCCTCCTTATTTCTAGGTTGAATCTCTCCTTGATGAGTTTCCATCCATCATTCCTTCTCTGGCCTTCGGGTGCTTTGGAGAATAGCTTGACCCCCTTCCTCCTCTCTGGGGCAGCCCCTCAAATATTTTGATTTTACCGAGGAAGAAGAACCAGCTGGAGATTGAAGGATGGAGCAGAACCCAATAAGGTTTAGGATAACGGTTGGTGCATTTAGTGCAATTGTGTCTCCTCTGGTCCTTCTCCCCGCTAAATTCACCTCCACTTATCCTAAACCCTACTGAGCGTTGGATTCTGCTGCGTTCTTTGATCTCCAGCTGGTTCTTCTTTCTCTGTAAAATTGGTGCCCACAAAGCTTCTCCTTCTCTCTCTCTCTCTCCCTCCCACTCCCTCTCCCTCTCTCTCTCTGTGTGTGTGTGTGTGTTTTTTGTGTGTCTCTGTCTTTTTTTCTCTTTCTTTCTTTCTTTCTTTCTTTCTTTCTTTCTTTCTTTCTTTCTTTCTTTCTTTCTTTCTTTCTTTCTTTCTTTCTCTCTGTCTTTCTTTCTCTGTCTCTCTGTGTCTGTTTCTTTCTCTTTGTCTCTCTCTCTCTCTCTTTCTCTCTGTCTCTCTCTCTCTTTCTCTCTGTCTCTCTTTCTCTGTCTCTGTGTCTCTGTCTCTGTGTCTGTTTCTCTCTCTCTCTTTTTCTCTCTTTCTCTTTCTCTTTCTCTCTCTCTCTCTCTCTCTCTCTCTCTCTCTCTCTCTCTCTCTCTGCAGGCTTGCAGAGGGTTAATTTCCCCTTCCAGGGAAAGTGAGTGACGTGGGGTGTGTGTGAAGCGCTTACGAAAGCCCCAGTTAAGCAGCAACGCCCTCACATCACATGCCTTGGCAGAGAACGGCAGGCCGAGCTCCAGATTCCCCCTAGCCGGAGCCTTCCCTTTTTGAGCGAGGGAGGGCAGGGCCGCCTCAGCCAATGGCAGCCGAGACAGCCTCGCACATAGCTGGGCGTCATGCCCACTAGCCGGCATTTCGGCATTTCCTCTCTTCCCGGCAAGGACAGAGTGAAAAAAGAGCCGAGAGGGGAATCGGCGCGGTGGGAATCTTATCTCAGCTGTGGTGGGATCTACATCGGCTGCGTAGCTCGGGCGAAGGGGAGATGCTTTGCCTGTGCCTCTATGTGCCAAACTTCGGCGCTTCCCAGGCTGAGTTTGAGTACTTCGAGTCCAGACGCCTCCCCGCCGGACTCAAATCCATCTTCAGGCTGAGCCTTCTGATCCCTTCCCAGGAATTCTCCACCTACCGGCAGTGGAAGCAGGTAAGGAGCCGGCTGGGAAGCAAGAGAGAGGCGGCGGCATTCTTTGGTTTTGCAAAGAGGCCGTGGGGCTTTCTCCTCCCCTTCTCCCCAAAGCCTTTTGGATGAAAGAAAGGACAAATTCACCCCCTAGAACCTTAGCATCTCAAGGAGAAGTTGGCCGCGCTGGTTGAGACCTCTGAATCTAGCCGCTCCCCCACCCCATATGTCTTCTGGTTGGGGCTCCCTTCTCAAGTGTCCCCTTTCCTCTTTGTGTGCTGTGACTTATCCGGTTTTGCTTTCCACTTCTCTAGTTCTTTGATGTAGAGAAGTGGAAAGGAAAACCGGGTAACAGTTTTCCTTTCTTGGTTTGCTGCAGGTTTTCTTCTTCACCTTAAGAACTTATCCCCCATTCAGTCCCGGTTCCTTCCTCTCTCCCAACCAACCTGCTTTCCCGAAAGCGAAGCTTTTGTGACTTCCGATCGCGCTGCTTTCTCGGTTTTATTTGAGTGCCTAATTTCGGTGTGCCGGAGAGGTTTCCTTCCTGCCTGGGTGTCTCAGAGACAGCAGAATGAGTAACGCAGATGGAATTTCTCTGACTTCCTTTGAAAAAAACGCTCTTGGGCTTTTCTTGAAGACTGGCCTTTTTCTCCTGGTCCGAGCAGGCACCTTCCAGAAATGGGGGAACTCTAGCTCCCATCACCTTCAGCTCGGTTGGAGATGGGTCTTCCGGCCGAGGAGCTTGCTTTTACTGTAGTTTCTGACCCTGCACAAGGTGCAGAGAAAGGGTGGAGAGAGTCACCTTAGAGAAGGATCAGGAGGAGGAGGAGGGGGAATGGGGAAGGAGGAGAAGGGAAAGAGGAAGAGGAGGAGCGGGGGAGAGGAGGAGGAAAAAGAAGAAGGGGAAGAGGAGGAGAAGGAAGGGGAAGAGGAGAAGGAGGAGAGGGAGAGGAGGAAAAGAAGGGGAAGAGGAGAAGGAGAAGAGGAGAAAAAATGGGAAGAGGAGAAGAAAAAAGTGAAGAGGAGGAGGAGAAGGGAAAGAGGAGGAGGAGAAGGAGAAAGGGGAGAAGGAGGTGGAGAAGGGGAAGAGAAGGAGGAGAAGGGAAAGAGGAGGAAAAGAAGAGGTGGAGGAGGAGAAGGAGAGAGGGAAGAGGAGGAGGAGGAAAAGAGGAAGAAGAGAAGGGAAAGAGGAGGAGGAAAAGAAGAAGGGGAAGAGAAGGAGAAAGGGAAGAGGAGAAGGAGAGAGGGAAGAGGAGGAAACGGGAAAGAGGAGGAAAAGGGAAAGAGGAGGAGGAAAAAGGAGAAAGGGAAGAGGAAGAGGAGGAGAAAATAACTTTGAGATGGTTGATGAGAGGTGGTGCATCTTTGAAATGAAGGAAGGTGCTTCCTAACTCTTCAGCTTTCAACCATGATGGGCTAGTCTAGAAACTGCCCTGGGGAAATTTCCAAACTTGGCTTATGCAAATGTGTGTTAAGAAGAAGCCTGCATTCACCTGTATCGGTTGAGCAAGGACCTTGGGAATTCTCTAGCTTGAGTTTCTTTCCTAAAAACCACATCCATGGCCAGTGAGGCTTGATGGACCTCCTTGATGGACCAGTGCATTTTTTCCAGCGTGGCACGTTATTTTAAGGCTGAAAGAATGGAGTTTGTGTTTTTGTTCAAAGAAAAAAAAATGTAGGAGGCTCTGGCTGAGGTCCTGATCCACACAGCTCACCAACACTTGTGAGTTGAACGGATCGAGACTTCAATTGAGGGTCTCCGGCAGAGCTAATTGGGACTTGGGACCCTGGAGATGGGAAGCAGGTATTCACCAACTCAGGCTTCCTTTCATACTTTTAGAATTAATGGCAGCTGTCCTTAATAATTGCCCCACCAACACAGAGCTGTGGCACACCCTTGAAAAAGGACTCTGTGGGTTGTCAGCATTTTGTGTTTCATCAGGACACCACCAACATTTTTTGGGTGTAGGCATCTCTGTAGGGTTTGATGTTCAGGGCACCACCAACACTTTGACACTGTGTAGGCATCTCTGTAGGGTTTGATGTTCAGGGCACCATCAACACTTTGACACTGTGTAGGCATCTCTGTAGGGTTTGATGTTCAGTTTCTCATGCTCAGTACCAGATAACAGGTGCTCTCCTTTGTATTATGGCGTTGAGTAATCATTAATTGACCTAGAGGGGCAACTCTGGGTTCAGCAGGAGCATGTGACAGTGTAGTAATTTCAGAATTGGCCATGGACTTATCACACACGCCGTTCTCTTACATTGACACCTTGCCCAATCTGGCTCCAGCTCCTCTTTCCTCATGGTCCACCCCCCAAATCTCTACATACAACGCCCACGGGCTAAAGCTCCTTGGTTAGGAGGCTGTTCCAAACTCAAAAAAAAAAAGGCTCAAAGCTTGGCCGCCAAAGGCATTTGTGATGTCCTAATTACAAGGGAAGACTTCCTTGGATTTCAGGAAAAGGGCCTTAGGTTCTCCAGTTAGGAGCCTTCATATGCAAAGGAGCAGGATTCGCCCCGTGTGGCTTCTTCGCTGCGGGAAGGTTAATGCGAAGACCTGAAATACTTTGGCACCGGCTGCGACAGGAGTTGCGTGTTGCAATTTGAGAAACCACCCTCCTTTGATAACAATTGTTCAGCTGCTCTCCAGTTCCTTCTTCCCCATTTGGCGATCCGTGGCCATCTTTCTAAGGAGGAGAATTTAGTATTTTAGGGCGCTCCGGGGTTGATCGATTAAGGCCCCTCCAACATTTCTTAACTCGCTTTCTTCCTCTCCCAAAGGGGACCTTTTGCCAGGGGCAAACTCTGAATAAGTTTGGCTTGGCTGTGATCTGCTGACATGCCTCTTTCTATCTTTAGTCTGCAAACGCTGGTCCCATCTCTCTCTCTCTCTCTCTCTCCTTTTTACAACTATCATATGATTGTCTGGAGATTTGGCCGCTTGGACATACCAAAGGTCATTGCAGAGGGTGGCTGGATGTCCTTACAGACCAGAAACAAGGGATTAAATTATGTAACGGTCCAACTTTAGCCGTTGAGCAGGAAGGGACATAGGCGCTCAGTAAAATAATAATAATAATAATAATTCTCTCTCTGAAAAATCATAATTGCAGAGTTATTTTGTCAGCTCCTCTCTCTTTCTCTCTCTCAACGGCTGCACCTGTGCAGCCGGCCGTGCCAGGGTTTTGATTTCTGCAGGATGTTGGCTTATGGTGAACCAGCTGCTGGGCTACTTTTCGTGGTTTGTTTTGCTAAGAAATGGGTGGTTGAACTCCAGCTCAAGACCCATCTGGCCAAGCAATGGGGACGGATTATCGAGTTAAAACCTCTAGAGGGATAGTCCATACAAGCCAATTCGGAGTCCAGTTCAAACCCAAATTCTTCCCCAAATCCCGAAGTTTACACAATACGCAAACATCACCAAAGCAAAATCCTTAATTTTATATAGGCAGCTTTGCTTTTGGGTTATATTATGACATCCTAGCTGCTAATGGCAGAGGTTGATGACTGAGGTCATCCTGCCATGTGGGGATGAGTAACTAGCCCAGATGAGACACCGTGGGAGTCTTCCTTTCAGAGGTGGAGCTGTGTTATTTTAATGCAGAAAAAAAAAAATTACACCATGGCTACCCGTGAAAGTAACAATCACATCAGTTGTTTGGTTTTCGGCTTTGCATGCCAGCCTGGTTGCAGTTTATTCAGTCAACAACGGTTGCACAAAGTTTGAGTAGGATGGGTGATTCCTTTTTGGCCTTTTCAGCGCAGGAAGAAGCATTTCCTTCCTGGATGCTATTCAAAACCAAGTTTTGTCTCTGAACCCAGTTCCCGGTGGCTATGCAAAGCAGGTGGCGTAACTGGGTTGAACAAGCCAAGATGGGTTGCGTTGACAGAGGGAGAGAATCAAGCCCTAATACCACTTTTATAATGTCTTGAATTAAGGCCGCCCTTGGAATACCGCGTCCAGTTTTGGTTGCCCTGATGTCAAAAAGATGCTGAGACTCTGGAAAGAGTGCAGAGAAGTACAACCAAGGTGTTTAGGCTAAAACCTATGAAGAATGGTTGTAGGAATTGGGCTTGGCTAGTCTAGGGAAGAGAAGGGCCAAGGGAGACATAATAGCAGTGTTTCAATAGCTCAGGGGCTGCCCCAAAGAAGAGGGAGTCAAGCTATTCTCCAAAGCACCTGAAGGCAGGACAAGAAGCAATGGGTGGAAACTAACCAAGGAGAGAAGCGACCTAGAACGAAGGAGAAATTTTCTGACAGTGAGAACAATCCACTTGCCTCCAGAAATTGTGGGTGGTCTAACCACCTGAGGTTTTAAAAGACAGCCATTTGTCTGAAATGACATAGGGCTTCCTACCCAAACGGGTTGGACTAGAAGACCTCCAAGGTCCCTTCCAACTTCCAATTCTGCGATCTCGTCCTCCGGCCCTCCTGCCCTGTCTTGGTGAAGGCTGGAAGGATTTGTTCCTGGTGGTAGGAATGGTCAGGGTGAAGTGTATTTATGGTCAACCTGACCTTGCCATCTCCCCCTCTCTCTCTCTCTCTCTCTCTCTCTCTCTCTCTCTCTCTCTCTCTCTTTCTTTTTTGCAAAGATACACTTTGCTCCTGAATTCTAGTTTCCCCCAGGTTCTTGCACAAGAACATATCTGCAGGGCGTCCAAACCAGTTTGGGCTTGTTTTAGAGCCTTTAACGATGGCTGATTAATGTTGTTTCTTAGCTTACCCTGCAAGTTTTCAAGCGGCAGTTAGATTCCCCCAGAAATAGCTAGTTTTCCTGTCGGGTCTCCTTATTAAAATAAATATATATTTTTTTTCTTCCCCGGGGAAGGCTAAAAAGCGAGCGTAAGAGAGGTGGGTTGACCTTGGTGCTTTCCAGAACTTCTCAGTTCAAGTCCCTTTGGATGTCTGGGTGTGCAAATGTGGCTGAACGTGATTTTTTTGGGGGGTACAGCTCGTCCTCATCTTACGACTCATTGGCGATTGAGCCCAGTATTTAGGTTGCTAAGCGAGAGACTTATTGAGTTTTGCCTCGTTTGATGACTTTCCTTGCCCTGTTCATTAAGCGAGTCGCCGCAGGTGTTAAGTTAGGAACACCGTTGTTAAGCGAACCCGGCTTTTCTCCCTCGCCGGAGGCTCGCAAAAGGGGATCACGCTGCGACCGTCATAAATAGGAACCAGTTGCCACACACCCGAATGTAAATCACGCGACCTGCGTCCGTGGGGATGCTGCCACAGGCATAAGTGTGAAAAAAGTCCCTTTTTTCAGTGCCGTTGTAACTTTGAACGGTCACTCAATGAATTTGTTGTAAATCGAGGATTACCTGTAGTTGGGGACAACTGGTTTTTTACTGTTCCTCTTGACGCAATTTGTGGCATCCGGCATCCCAAATCCTATTTTTACAAAATAAATAAATCCATATATATAAAAGCGAAACACCACTCATGCATCATCACAAAATCTCCAGAACTGTAAAGCCTACAAACTTGAAATTTGTCCTGTATGTTCCTCTTGGCTTCTAGGGGCTCACTAAGAAAGGATTTCTTGAAATGACCATCAGAGCTTTAATATTTCCTATATAATTATTATAAACATGCTCTGATGCTAAGGAGTTCTACTCCCCCTCCCCACCTGAAAAGAAATCTGTTCTAAATGCAAAACCACAAGCAGAGGAGAGGAGTTCCCATTTCAGGTTTAGTTTCACAGCAGCTTTAGTACAGAACAGTTGAGCTAAGCCACGCCCAGGCTCCTTGCTGTCTCCTTGCTCACACAGCAAATACTGCTTCAGTTTCCAAACAGCCCTCCACTCTCTCACACACTGACAGGAAGACCGTTGGATGCTGGTAGGCAGAAAGCAGATTTTATTCCCCCTCTTATTTTCTTCCCCCAAAACTAAACTCGACCACCTAGTTTCATAGCGAAACACGGGGATCGAGATAGTAAATAAATTTAAAAAGACGCTTCTGGAGTGAATTTCCCAAACCCAGCCTGGAATCCATTAACCATCCTGGCCATATTGCGAAAGATGCTTGAGTTTTTCCTCTTAAAAACCTCTTTCAAAAGCGGATTTGGGAGAAGATTCTCAGTCTTTTAGGATAATAATAATTTAAAAAAAAAAAAAACCCTTCTTCTCTAAGGAATCAGCCTCTACTCTCCGAAATCCATATTTTAAAACACTCGGAGAAGTTGAAGATGCCCAATTCGGGCACCGGATCCTTCAGCTGTTTTCCCATTCCTCAGAAGAGAATAATGGTGGTTTGGGTTTTTTGGCGCCGAGTTGCGTTTGTCCCTTGGAACATTTAGTTGCCGTTACTTACAAATAGGAACCAGAGCTTGTTGGAAGAGGGAAGGGGGACTTTATGCTTCCCTGACCCTGAACAATAGCAGCCCTGAAGACAACCGAGATTTATTTTTTTGCCATTGTTTTCCCCGTCCCCGTAGAAAATCGTAAAAGCTGGCGATAAGGACCTGGATGGCCAGCTGGACTTCGAAGAATTCGTTCACTACCTCCAGGACCACGAGAAGAAACTGAGGCTGGTCTTCAAGAGCTTGGACAAAAAGAATGACGGTGAGCCCACCCGTTGGTTGGTTGGTTGGGTTTTGGCTGGCCCCTTCCTCCTCGGGAGCTTTTGAGATTCATTTCTCTCTCTCTCTCTTTCTCTCTCCTTCCTGGATGTTGCAGGTCGCATTGACGCTCAGGAGATCATGCAGTCCCTCCGCGATCTGGGCGTCAAGATCTCGGAACAGCAGGCGGAGAAGATCCTCAAGAGGTAAAGGTCTCCCGTCTCAAAGAGGCTCCTGCACAAATACTTGGCTTTTTCCCCTTAATCCTTCCGCTGTAATAGCGAGTCAAGGAACAAGCTGCCCACCTGTCTGTCTGTCTGTCTTTCTGTCTGTCTGTCTCTCTGTCTCTGTCTGCCTGCCTGCCTGTCTTATCTCTTATCTCTTGCTAAATAGCTAGCTAACTAACTACTCCTTTTCTCTCTCTCTCTCTCTCTTTCTTTCTTTCTTTCTTTCTTTCTTTCTTG